ATATATAGTTTTTACAACTAGAAAAGGTGTTCCAAAAATTGCTTGCCCTCTTGAAACTGGCCAGCAACCCGCGGCTGGTAGTTCAACCCATTGAGCGGTCGAAACCAGAGAAATAAAAACAAACACTTGGTCCTAGGAGCTTGGAACACTCGAACACTCATGGATAGGCAGGATTCGAGTAGGCCAGGGAGAAGGACTGCTCTCATAGCCAGAGAGCTAGGGAAGTATAACATTGACATTGCTGCTTTAACTGAAACCAGACTTGCGGAGGAGGGTTCTGTAACCGAACCTAGGGGCTGTTACACCTTTTTCTGGAAGGGCAAGGCCCCAAACGAAGACAGAATTCACGGGGTAGGACTAGCCATCAAGACCAAATTTCTCAATAAACTGCCTGACCTTCCCGTCCCGAAAAACGAACGGTTGATAAAACTCCGCTTCCCCTCTCTTCAACACGGAACGTAACAGTAATCAGTGCCTATGCTCCTACACTAGTCAGTAATGAGGAGGAAAAGGAAAAGTTCTACGAGGATCTTGACAACCTTGTAAAAGAAACTCCTGCTGAAGACAAACTCATTCTATTAGGCGACTTTAACGCTAGGGTCGGTACAGATCACAGAAATTGAAAGGGCATCTTAGGTCCTTACGGAATTGGCAAGATGAATGCCAATGGCCAGCTACTCCTGACCCTGTGTGCCGAAAACAATCTAACCATTACAAACACTTTCTACAGCCAAGCCGATAAGTATAAAACTACCTGGATGCACCCAAGACCAAAGCAGTGACAGGTGCTCGACTATGCCATCTGCCGCAGGCGTGACATCAGTGACTTCAAAATCACACATACCATAAGGGGAGCCGAGTGCTGGACTATCGCTTGATTAGATCAGTCCTTAGACTACATATTGCTCCTACACACCAAAAAATGGCAGCGTCCACAAGGGCATTCTACAATGTGGAACAGTTGAAACATCCCCACATACGCGAGAAATTTGCAAATAGCCTTGATACCAAGTTGTACTCCCATGGACCACTCTCTGGAAGCACCACACAGCAGTGGGACCAGCTTAAAAAAGTGGTGAAGGAGACAGATAAGAGTACACTTGGTCCTAAAAGGAGACCACATCAAGACTGGGTTGATGACAACGACGACGCTATCTTGCAACCCTTGGAGGAAAAACGAATGGCCTTTTCAGTATGGCAAAACAACATGTCCTCACCCACTAAAAGAGACCGCTTCAAACATCTCCAGAGACAAACCCAAGCTGCACTCCGACGCATGCAGGATGAGATCCAGCACTACTGCGACACCAAGAACAGCAATAAGTTCTTTGGTGCCATAGAGACAGTATTTGGACCACCAGAGCCCAGCAACGCCCAACTCAAGTCAGCTAATGGCAACCTGCTGAAGGAGAAAAAAGCCATCAACAACAGATGGCGGGAACATTTCAGTGACCTACTTAACAGGCCATCTACAGTGACTTCGGAAGTGCTAGACAGCATTCCCCAGAGATCCACCATAAATTTTCTTGACCGCCTCCCAACACTGCAAGAGCTCAACGTGGCGATCCAACAGACTAGTGCTGGGAAAGCCCCCGGGAAAGACAGCATACCGGCTGACATATTTAAAGCAATGGGCCCAATAGCCCTTGACAACTTCCACACCCTACTTATCAACATATGGGAGGGGGGAGACATGCTCCAGGACGTCAGAGATGCTACAATAGTTCCCCTTTATAAAACAAGGAATATGCATAGATTTTCAGCATAAGAATGGTGCATCCGTTCTCGAATCCAGGTGTTACTGCATGCTTTCAGTATACGGAAGAGTGAATTTTATGGGCACAGAATCTCGCAGAAATGACAGTATTAGGTTAAATAACAAAGCACAAATAGAAAAATATTACTAGTATATTGAAAAACCGTGTGCATGCGTTATTTTCCTAACAAAAAGTATGTACCACAGCGCACAGTGCAGTACTATAAGTGATTTTTTTTTGCAACTTTCAAATTTTTAGTCTAATAAAAGTCTTTCAAATTTTTAGTCTGAGCTCCACCAACTAGGGGCGCCCAGTTTACACGGATACAACTACGAAATAACACTCACCTCTATGTTCTTCGCTGTCGCACTCAGACCTATAAAACCAGCTTTATTACACACACATTCACTCTGGAACCAACTACCGCAGATAGTTAGATATGCTCAAAACCTTACTGCCTTAAAGAGAGAGAGCAGAAGGCACTTGTTGACCTCAAGACACCGTCAAACATACCGCACTTTAGGCCCAAGGTTGTACAATATACACACTAACAGGCTACGCATGGGTTGGTGCCAACTACACAGTACGTTGCACAAGATGAACATCAAGGGCAAAACATGCGCTTGTGGAGTTTCTTCTGAAACCGTTCAACATTACCTGCTACATTGTCCCCTACATACTGAACAACGCATCAAACTTACCTCTACCGTCGAACGCCTTGTACACCAGCGACCTACGGCTTCTCTCCTACTCCAAGGATTAGCAGACCACGACCTTGACACTAACAAGCAACTTCTAGATGCACTCCACATGTACATTTCATCTACCAAAAGATTTACTTCCAGCTGAGCCACTGTTTCTTTTTAACAGATATGTTTAGCCCTAATGTTTATCGATTTAATTCTAGTTACCCTAGTATTTCTTATATCTAATTTTTTATTGTAAATTGATCGACAATGTACTTATGTATTAATAAATGCGTGTTTGTCTTATATATTGCGGCAAACTTGTCTTAAACTTTAAACTGAAACTGAAACTGTTTATTCACATTGATTGGCAGCCAATATGCATTGCTTGGCTGAATTGCACAATTGATTACATGATGATGTATGTGTGTATTGTGTATATTTGTATATGTTGTCGCAATATCAGCTATCAGCTGCCTGGCGACAACATTGTATTGCCATGTTGCAATTTCAAATAAATAAATAGACTATACAGTTATATAACATTTCACCTGAAACCTTTCACCTGACCAAACTTAGCCAGAGCTGCCAACGTAGCAGAGTTGGTACTTACACTTGACTTAATTATAATGATGAAAGTGACAACAGTTCCTGTTGCTAACTATCACCAAGGTGATACAGTTAAGGTGATGCAGTTTTAATGATGCAAGAAGGGGTAGACTTTTTTCTACCTTTTACCCCATTGAAGACAGTTACACTCCGCTGCCTACAGGGTGCCCTAAAGTAGGACTTCCTACAGGCAGAACTCTTTCTTCCCGCGGGCAATTCCTGACTGGAATAACCTGGATGCAGATATTGCCCTTTCCTCTTCTCTGGAGGAGTTTAGGGGCAAGTTGTGAAACCTGAACTCCCCGGCATGTACCCACCACTACAGGCAGCAGAATCTTCAAACTGTTTAAGGCGGCTGCCTCAAGCGAAAAAAAGAAGAAGAAAACAACATATTCAAGCTCATTACAACTTTGCATACATTTACTGTGGAAAATGTGAAAACGGATTAAGTTTGTGATACAGGGTTTGTCTAGACGAATCAAAAATATAAATCTATCATTTGCACTTAGGTGTTCAAAGTGTGGGAACTTCTCTTTGATTATTAAAAAGGACAGATCTTTCGTTAGAATATAATGTACAGTCTAAAATAAAGGGGTTGTTCTTCTTCTATTCTATTTATGTTACAGTATTGACAGAGTTAATTCTGTAGAGGAATGCGGTTGTGTCTTTCCGTTTCAATGAGTAATTTCAATGAGCAATTATTCGACCAAGATGCAGCCAATCTCTCAATGCGACAATGCTCGAATTGAATGCTCTGCTAATTGCTATGTTAAAATAGGTTGAATGTATAATTTCGATGAATGTTGGCTCATTTCAAAGAACATAAGAAAGAGGCAGACAGCATCAAGAAAAGAAAGGTACACCAGAGCAAGAAAAAAAGAAGCTGAGAAACAAGAAAACAAGTCAGCAGTCACAGACCACATTACAAGAAGTAACTGTGTAATAGATTGGGACGGGGGCAAGGTAATAGACCGAGAGGACAACAGATGTATCCGGTGGATTAAGGAGATCGTGTGAATAAGAAAATCCAATCAAGTCATGAACCGTGATGAGGGGAGTATAAACTTAGTTTGGGATCACATTCTTAACCCTATCTAGACCGGGCTTTTTTTTTTTGGCTTGGTGGGACGGAGGGGGTCTTTTGACCCCCCCTCCGTCCCACCAAGCCAAAAAAATAAAGCCATAAAATGACGTCATACATATTTAAGCTATCCGCCATTTTGGATCATCAATCTTGAATTTTCAAAAATATTTTTTTTTTCAGGATAAAGCCTAAAATACCTTGTAAACAGACTAAAGACGTTCATATGAACCTTTTTTGTAAAAAGAAATGGAAGTTTTGATGAAATTTTAAGGAAAATAACCTGTATATACCTGTTGTAATGATATGGTCCGCCATCTTGGATTTTGACCAATGACGTCATCAAATTAGCATAAATTATGCATTGTTATTTATAAAATTTACATAAAATTATCTGGGATTTTATTGATATTAGAAACCATGAGTAACTTGACATAAAACCTATAAAATTCTATTGTTGAAACTAAAATTACTAAATTTAGCAAAAATGCCTGTCAGAAACCCGTTGCCATGGCAACACAAAAAATTATTATCTTATTCCAATGATAGAGAATTGTTGCCATCAATATTCTAGGAAAAGTCACCAATTTTGGCCGTTCTATGGCTAGCCGTTCAGACGCTAGGTGACATCAAAGTTGGCGCGGGCACTTTTAGCCCCCCCCCCCGTCTAGGTAGGGTTAAGCTAGAGCCATCAAATTTGGTGACCAGTCCTAAAATGCATCAAACCTGAGTGCCATACTTTTTCGAAGGCCCTTGAAAAGTCCATAAAAAAAACAGCGCGAACTTCTTTCCGTTATAAAGAGCTTCAGAGATTAAATGACATATTTAACAAGTTGACACACAGTAGAGTCCCCCTTAACAAAACCAGACTAAAAGGAATAGATAAGGTCGTTAGAAACAAAGTGGTTATAAACATGTTTGTAGACATTTTTTCCAGGACATTTGACAGAATAGGAAGCAGAGAAATTGGCCTGTAATTATGCTTGTCTTGGGAGGCTCCTTTCTTGTATATAGGGATGACATTGGCTTTTTTCCAGGCATCAGGAAAAATGCCATGTGTCAAAGACATATTGAACACATAAGCTATTTTATCTGAAATATAAGGCGTTATAACTTTAAGGAAGCGTGTGTCAATACAGTCATATCCATGAGCCTTAGAAGGATTTAGGCCACTAATATACAGCTCGACCTTTTCTGAGGAAGTTACAATGGATGACACTCTCGCATCAGTATAAAACGTGAGATCGGGAAGAACAGCCTGGGATGAATCTATCGAAGACTGGGCAGCAAAATAATCATTAAAAATACAAGCTTTTTCCCTAGCATCAGTAATGGATAAAGAACCTTCAAGAAGGGGGGGAGGGGGTTGTTGATTGAAGTTTGGGTTTATAAAAGTGTTTTACAATATGTCACCATTTTTGGAGTCTGTTGGGGGATCCGAGAGAGAAGAAGCAATACGAGCTTCATAATAAGCCTTGGCTTTGGTAATTGAATTACATACTGTATTTTACGATATGCTTCCCAGTGAACATCAAGATTGGTCAGCTTGGCAGTTCTTATCGCGTAGCCGCATGAAACACTGTGGCCAAAATACAGCACTGCAGGCCGCACATTTGCTTGGATATCTGATAAAAATCTTTCTGTCCTGACTTTCCGAGGAAGTGCATCTCCAGTTTTGCTCCGTGCTGACTCTCCAGGAGAGTGAGTGCATCTACTTTTGCGGTAGGTTTCTATGTCTTCATTCTTTGGACATGGCGGAGAGTGGGGGTCCCCCGGGCAGAACAGTCTTGGTCATAGGACACTCTTTTATCAGTCGATTGGATGCGTTTGTTGAAAATCGCACGACCACTGCGTGTGGTAGAGCAGTAAGCCGTGATTTTTGGCTTGACAATACTGTAGTAAAATGGCTGTACCTCTCCGGTGGGAAAGTAGCGAACTTCGGACGACTTTGCGCCAACTTCCCACAGGCGGACCTAGTTTTCTTAGAACTATGGTGTAATGATCTATGTGACTCGTATAAACTCCTAACGTCTCCACTTGGTCGCATATAAGGCTCGCTCAGAGAGACTTTCCCGCATACTCGGCTAGGGACGGTTTGCACCTATCCACACACGGGAACCTGTTATACTACAAAGTGTAAGGGGGGACATCACAGCAGCTTTAAAAAACATGTAAATAATGCAACCGTTGATTCAGTGGCGAGATGCCCAGATATCAACTGCATCATCAGTAAAGATTGACGATTCCCCTTTAAGAAAACCCTGACGCGAACTCTCTACATTACAGAATTGTGACTCATACTTTCCAATCGTTCCCATTCTTGACTGGGTTTGCGACATGTTCGCCTAAGCGGGCTCGTTTGGCGGGTTCTTTATCGCGATAGCTCTGTTTGGTGGTGGGAAAAAATCCTGACTAACATTACGGTAGAAAGTGTACAATCTATGGAAAAGTTGTAAGATTGGCATAATATTTTTACACTGAAAATCTGTTCATAAGATGTGTGTTTCGGTTGTCATGGTAACCATCATGTCTCAACGAGCATTGTGAATCGTACACAAGTTTCTATAGCTGTTTATCAATATCTATTTGTATTGAATCCATGTCAGTATTAAAATACCTTATATTCCCGCCAAACGAATGAACTGTGTCGGCTATTGTTTATTCCAATTCTTTATTAAGGTGTCGGCTAGAGAGGAAGGCATAAATTACTTTTCGTGAAACGAAAATACAAATTTATGCCGGATACGATTGTCGACTCCAGCCCGCTAGGATCATATTTCGCAGGAGCGCGGGGATTCCTTATTTGGAACCTGTAAGTGACGCCGAGCCCGAAGAACTGACCAATCAGAATCCGTAAAAACCATGTGCTTCATCGGGCGGGCCAGTGCTCGGTTCCAAAACACTGTGGCCAAAATACAGCACTGCAGGCCGCACATTTGCTTGGATATCTGATAAAAAATCTTTCCCCTCCCACCCTACCCCAGGACCTCTCCGCCATGTTCCATACCTCTGCTATTATATTTGTATGTTCAGTGATTCAAATCACGCATTCTTACCAATCGCTTGATTATGGACAGGACACATTTATTATACGATGCGGTGCTACCATTATCGCATGAATATATGGAGCTACAGATTGGTTCGCTATAAGTTTTGTCTGTTCTACTAGCAGACTACCGTGTATCATAAGTTACGGTGCCGTGTATTGTGGCCTGTAATATACATATTGTCAACTTCAATGCCGCTCCTTTGGCTTATAGCTCTCAGGGTTTGTTTACACTTTTTCTCTGTATTATTGACAGATGCGGTGTATTATAATATAACGTTAAGTTACGATCGATGCCTCCCGTTATGGCCTACATTGTATATTGTCAACTTCCTGGCCGCTCGTTTGGCTTGTAGCGGTCAGTGTTTGTTGACACATTTTGTTCTGTCCTGTTGGCAGACACTGTGTACGGTGCCGCTGGTGATTGTGGCTCGTACTATAAATTGTCAACTTCCTGGCCGCTCGTTTGGCTTGTAGCGGTCAGTGTTTGTTGACACATTTTGTTCTGTCCTGTTGGCAGACACTGTGTACGGTGCCGCTGGTGATTGTGACCCGTACTGTATATTGTCAACTTCCTGGCCGCTCGTTTGGCTTGTAGCGGTCAGTGTTTGTTGACACATTTTGTTCTGTCCTGTTGGCAGACACTGTGTACGCTGCCGCTGGTGATTGTGGCTCGTACTATATATTGTCAACTTCCTGGCCGCTCGTTTGGCTTGTAGCGGTCAGTGTTTGTTGACACATTTTGTTCTGTCCTGTTGGCAGACACTGTGTACGGTGCCGCTGGTGATTGTGGCCCGTACTATATATTGTCAACTTCCTGGCCGCTCGTTTGGCTTGTAGCGGTCAGTGTTTGTTGACACATTTTGTTCTGTCCTGTTGACAGACACTGTGTACGATGCCGCTGGTGATTGTGGCTCGTACTACATGTATATATTGTCAACTTCCTGGCCGCTCGTTTGGCTTGTAACGGTCAGTGTTTGTTGACAGAACAAAATTATCCCCCTGACTTAGCAGTCTTGCAAACGGGTTATGCGTTGGTTTAGTAATCTGATCATAATTGATTCCATAAACTACATTGCACATAGCGAAACCCATTTTAAATCATGGGCAACCATCTTAACAATTTCCTTTCTTTTGAGTACTAGTCATGTCGCCACCACGAAAGAGTGCCCGCGTAGCGCGGAGGCGAGAGGATCTGGGTCCCCCGCAACCGACCGACGGCGGTAACGGGTTAACACCTGAAGGTGACATAACATCACCACCTCGCAAGGTTCCCAACAAACCCAAACTGACCATGAAGACACTCCAGCAACAGCTGCAAGATTTACAACAGATCACAGCGCAGCTGGTGAACAAACTGGACTCCAGCACGCCAGGCCATGGCCCAACGGGCGTGTTATCCCCGGATGATCAAAACCCAGCTCACAGCAGAGCTGAGCCTGAGACAAGCAGCCAGAATAACACCCTGCAAACTTTGCAAAACAACTATGTCACTACCCACAGCTCGACACCCAGCAGTTCAACCGGAGTGTCAGTGTCTGACTGTATATATGCAACAAGCGTGTTACCTGCTAGCAGTCAAGCAGGGTCAACACGGCCGATAGGACACAATCTCCCATTGAGCACAACAACTCCTTTATCCCTGGCTACAGGGATTATACCGGTGTACACCACAAGCAGTTCATGGGGCCTGCAACCGCCATATCTCCCTCCAGCTACTGGTAATCCGACTGGCCAAGTGCAAGGCCTTGGCTCAACATTAGCCTCTAACATCATAGGTACACCTTCAGTTACCCATACTGTTTCCACTGCCACATGTGTAGAGCCAGCGTCAGCACTTGGAAATCCTGTCTCAGCGCGAAACCTTGATAATGAGCTCTTCCAAGCAGGAGTACACCTCCCGCTTGACACGGGCATTTCCGAAGTAATGAAGGAAAAAATGGCAAGACAAATTTGTTGATTTTAAGCAACTACTGCCTAATACCCGCACAAAAGCCCAGTACACAGTCAACTTAGAACCATCAGCAGGATTACCAACGCTGACGTTGGCCAATGCTTCAGAGGATACTAGTAACAAACGGGCCCTCACTTTTGCCCAATGGTCGACGGCTTTTTCCATTTACCAATTTATTTACATTCAGAAGCATATCACGCGTAGTTCCCAGTTAATCTCATATGGGTACCTGATCCGGTCTATGGCAGACCGAGGTGCACAATGGAACAGGTACGATACGCTTTTCAGACAGCTCAAACAGGTCTCCCCCGGTTTGCCATGGGATGTACCACATATGCAACTTTATGTTGATGCCTTTGCCTATACACGTGCCCCACATCCCACTCCTAACTCATATGATCGTAAGACCACTAGCTCCATCCCTAGAGGCCATTGTTTTCGATTCCACACACAGGGGGATAAGTGCCTCGCGGCGAGCTGCCCATTCAGGCATGACTGTCCCATCTGTGCAGGAGCACAAAATCTTCACCTGCCCCAAAAAAGATCAGCCCAAGTATACCCACACCAGTAAACGTTGAGAAAATGGCATTTATCTGGAGGGCTACCCTGAAAGGGAGAAGGATTACATTGTCAAGGGTTTTACATACGGATTTCCTTTAGAATACTTTGGCCCGCGAAATAGAAATTCAACTAAGGTCATAGTACCAAATCCCACTCAATTCGCGCGATCAGCTTTGTCCATAAAATATTAAACCTTGATGACCCTACTACAACCTTTCCCATCCGTAAACTAATGCACTCCATCCAAAAGCATGTCCCTGATAGCAGATTGCCTATATCCCCTCACATATTGTCAAAATAGATTGATTCCTTAGCATGCATTGATATCAAGCACTACGACCAGTGCCTATATAAAGCAATGTTCTCACTGATGTACTATGCTTTTGCACGCATTAGTGAAGTTACAATTGCCCCTTCATCCCAACACACCCTAATGTTGGCAGACCTTCACCGGGTATTTCTGACCAAAATGGCAGTCTAACTTCCAATGTGGTATGCTTCAAGTCGTACAAGCACAGCATGCCTTCTACACAATCCACTATCGCAATCTCAGCACAACCAAACAGCCCTCACTGCCCCATACAAAGCCTGACCCAATACCTACGCTTGAGAGGAGGAAAACCAGGGCACCTGTTCCTACGTAATGATGGCTACCCAGTTAGCAGCGACAATTTCGCTAGAGTTCTAAAAACTTGTGTGCTTTAAGCCAAATTAGATCCTCAGAAATACACTCCTTCCGTATCGGTGCTGCTACGCAGGCAGCCTTACAGGGAGTACCAGATTCCATACTCCGCTTACTAGGGAGATGGTCCTCTGATGCGTTCAAACAGTATATTCGAACATGATCTATAATACAATGTAGCCACACAGGCCGCATAACAGATACGTGTAAAATAACAGGCGCGTCTTGGCGAGTTGCCTTCGTGCCTCCATTGAATACAGGGTAAAATGCCCATTGTTATAATGATAATGTTAATCGGCACTGGCCATGAGTTGGGAATCAGAATGCCGCATCTTTGTTGCTAGACTGTTGCCTTATCCACTCGTTAAAATGTATTACTTGTTAGAACAGTCATAATAGGTTAGAACAGTTATACGGTCATTATTACCGTATGACACGATTGCTAAACTTCTTTATCCAGTCGGCTTGCCAAATTATCAAAGTCAGTTGATAGACTCGAACGTTATAGTTAGTTGTTAGGAGTCGAACTTTGATTGTAACAGAACATTGTGTAGGAATGTAACAGTCGTCGTTACAACCACCCGATCGTTATGGCGTTCTGACTGTGATATATCGTTCCACAACTGTTCAATGAGATCATTGTAGCGCACATAAACATTAAACATTGTTCTACTGTGATACCTACATAGTTCAAACCATGTTTGTTATTCATGGAACACCATATTGTTCTCAAGGTTCTAACATATAGTAGCATCAGCTGTCCGTTTTGCCTAGTCACTGAAACTGTTGAATAGTGTCTGGCACAGTTCATAGCTTTTAGACACGAACCAACATTAGTACTAAGAATTTATAGCAGTTAGCTATCTCTATTAGTAACTAGAAACATGGATATTTCAAATTGTAAAGCAGCTTCCACAGAACTAATCATAAACTAGTACATATGCTCACCACCATTCTACGATGTTCTAGTTCATGTATCGTGCTATCGTGACTCTGACCAGCATAGGTCGCTTTGACAGTTCTTGTATTGTTAAACTATTACAGCATTGGTGGTGGGAAAAATCCTGACTAACATTACGGTAGAAAGTGTACAATCTATGGAAAAGTTGTAAGATTGGCATAATATTTTTACACTGAAAATCTGTTCATAAGATGTGTGTTTCGGTTGTCATGGTAACCATCATGTCTCAACGAGCATTGTGAATCGTACACAAGTTTCTATAGCTGTTTATCAATATCTATTTGTATTGAATCCATGTCAGTATTAAAATACCTTATATTCCCGCCAAACGAATGAACTGTGTCGGCTATTGTTTATTCCAATTCTTTATTAAGGTGTCGGCTAGAGAGGAAGGCATAAATTACTTTTCGTGAAACGAAAAGAACCTTCAAGAAGGGGGGGAGGGGGTTGTTGATTGAAGTTTGGGTTTATAAAAGTGTTTTACAATATGTCACCATTTTTGGAGTCTGTTGGGGGATCCGAGAGAGAAGAAGCAATACGAGCTTCATAATAAGCCTTGGCTTTGGTAATTGAATTACATACTGTATTTTACGATATGCTTCCCAGTGAACATCAAGATTGGTCAGCTTGGCAGTTCTTATCGCGTAGCCGCATGAGTCTCTTAAGACTGTAAGTCATCCACGGTTTTCCTTTTGATTTGATAGTGATATTTCTGTGAGGAACGCACCGAGATTTTGCCTCTAAAATAAGACATCAGACCAGCTGGGATCAGATACAAACGTTAAGAGAGAATCATAATCAAGGTTTTCATAGTCCCAGATAGTACGTATATAAGGTTTAGGGACAGTAAAAAACAACTTCATATTACCTATAATAGGAGTATGATGGCAACCGGATAAAGGAGACAAAATTTGGGTATTTGAGAAAAACAAAGGGCTGTCAGTAAATATAAAATCAAGTAGAGAGGGGGACTGTGAGAGATCACAGGTAGGTTCAGTAATGGTCTGATAAAGATTAAGTAACAGCTGAGTTTGGTACATTTTGCACTGGCATGATTAATAGGATCCAGGTGCCACCACTCTTTATGTTTTGCATTCAAGTCTCCAGTTATGACAATGGCATCGGGGCACGAAGAATGCGCTCTGATGACAGAGTCAGTGAAACAGTCCACAAATTCATTAATTATGCAAACATTTTGTCCGGGTGGCCGGCAATAGACAGAAAACAAAATTTTGAATTGGCTACTATGAAGTTCAAGCCAGATAGATTCAAAAGAACTGGGCTCCAAATCGGAGCGTCTGATACATGATATCGAATCTGATACATACACAAGTACCCCTCCGCCGTGGCGATTACGATCACGACGAAAAGGCGGCTGAAAACCAGCTAATGAGCGAATCAATAGAGTCTCCCAGCCATGTCTTAGTGACAGCAATTATATCCAGATGAAAATCAGATATTAAGGAAGAAATCTCATCAAGCTTGGTACCATGTACCAGCCACAATGCTATTGACATTAGAATGCATAAAGGATAAACCTTTGAAAGAGCCTAAATCACACAGGTCAGAAATATACATGGAATTCGTCATCATGATTAAATTCAAGTAGCAAAACCTTCTCTACAGTATAGTTTAAACAATGGAGTAAGAGGTCAAGCGCACATACATTAGACAAAAATACACACGAACAATAACAACATAAACTTCTCAACTGATGACTTGCTAGACATCTCTGTAGCAAGCATACTAGGCGATGATCATCAACATCAAGTTCGATTATCGCCAAACCAAAATAATCACAATCGTGCAGCGCAGTGAAAATAACCAAAGATCAGTATTGTTTCTACATGCATTCAACATGAACCATCCTAGTCAAAAACAAAGTCAAAGTCAACAAAGTCAAAGCCGCCACAAAAACCGGGCTTACAAAATACTGGATGTGTCTATTGTCCCTGATGAGAAGATTTGAAGTAGTTGTCAGGGGTTGTATAGGACTTGCCAGCAACGTAGAGAGTCATCGTCACTCCTCGGAGACGGAACTTGGGTTTTGCTCCTTTGGCCTTGGCGTGTTTGTAGGCATTTTGTACAGCCACAGGTAGGTGCTCACTTACCCCAACGCCAGATCGTGGTTGTAAGCGGTATAAGCATGGCGCAGGACTACATCACGCTCAATCATAGAAACGAACTTAACAATAATCGGGTTACCGTTCATCCTCGGCATCCGGTTAACGTTTACAAATGCAAATTTCCTGGCGTTGTCAACAGTCAGTTTCTTGTCAATAAAGTCATAGGCTTGCTCGACAACATCTTCTCCATCCTTGAAAGGAATTAGGAATAGATTTCGTTTTGCAGAAGTTTGGCTTCCAGCTCATCCATGCGCTTGTTGAGCATTTCTCCTATTTGTCATGCTCGGCTATTGGGCCGGAAGGTATGACTTCATTACCCACAAAGCAATACCAGCATGACGTCATTCATCTGGGTCAGGCCCGGTTCCACGTCCACGTCTGGCCTGCGCTCTTCAAGCCCCCCACCCAGCAAACCCGTCGAGGCGAGGCACCCCGGATTCCGGCGGGACTGGTCGTGCGGGGAGACCGTGGCTACCGCGGCGTTGAGCCGGTAGAGCGCCGTGCTGTGGCAGAGCAGGTTTGGGTGCCGTAGGAGAGCTACCGGCGGAGTTTAGACACAGTTTTTGTTGGCTGTGTTTTGTTTTACAACTTGTTCGGCTAATATTGTCCTTGGGTGTATGTTTCAAAGGAGCAGGAAGGAAGGATGCCTACGAGACGAGTCTGGCCATGGAAAGGTTTGTTTATTTGCAGGATAGAATCCGTTGCCATCCTTCGCAGGGGAAAGCCAGAAACGTTTTCTGTCAGCGGGGACGAAACATTTAGACCAGGAACTAACCCAGTGTTATGCAATTCTTAGTTTTGCCTTCGATTCAACAGTTTTCAGGTACAGTCAAAGCGACCAGCCGAGAGATGCAAGATGGCTGCCCCACTCGTCCTCTGGAAAGAGGGATCGTAATCCGTTGCAATCCTCGCCGTCGGCAATTCAGGGACGCCCAATTCTAGCAGGACCAGGCGGCGGTTACAGGATTGTAATATATTTGACAACCCTTTTTTGATTTTCGTTCAGATTTCTTGTAAATTTTTCCTTTTGAGTCCTCAGACGATTGTAGTCTCATCGACCCTGTTTGTTTAGCCCCCCAGTGGCAGACCTCGTCCGAGTGTTGCGAGCTCGGGCTAGTTTTCTGTGGTCGTCTTTCTTTCTTTTTTACAGTGGTTTGCTGCACGGGGTTAATGGAATTTTCAATCCGGCGGACCACTAAGCCAGGTGCCACGTGTTCGCTCTTGCCTCTCACAGCACATTATGCGTGTGTGTAATGCTAATGTGATGTTGTGTCATGGTAATTTTTGGTGCGGTGCGCAAGGACACTGGTATGTGTTAGCTGTGTGAGGTTTGAGTGGCCTGCGATCGCTCATGCTAGCGTGGTAAATCCCACTTTTGAGGTTCCAGGCAGGGGGGAGAAAAGAGTGACTGAATGCGTGGCTGGTGTTGTGGTCTTGTCACGTAGAAGGGGTTATAGTGTGTTGTGCATGGGTTCCCGCACTTCACCTGGAAGTTTGTGTTGATATGGTGGTATGCACTATGTATTCTTATTTTGCAACATCTTTGTGCCAGCTGAAGGTTTCGCTTTGTTTCTCCATCAGCAGCAAGGGCACAGTGGGCTACCAAAGCAGCTCGCCGAGAAAACAGCAGGCGGAGGAGTGGTGCTCCGATTCCAGTGACCACAGACTAGAAGCTCGCCGCAACTATAAGGATGTAAGCATGCTGTGTTACGCTGTGTTGCGCTGTGTTGTCGGCACGCGGGGGCTGAGATGCCGCGTGCCGGTGACACAGAAGGCTTTAAGGCGGCGGGTGAGAAGCCACGCGCCAGCAACACAGAAGGCTGTAAGGCGGCCGGCGAGGGCCCGCGTGCCAGTAACACAGAAGGCTATAAGGCGGCTGGAGGCCGCGTGCCGGTATCAGAGAAGGCTGTGAGGCTGCTGGCGAGAGTCAGCGTGCCAGTTAAAAAAAAAGAAAAAGAAAACTAAAGAGAGAGAGGAAAGTGGGCTGGAGGAACTGTAAGGTGGCAGTGTGGCCGCGGGCCAGTAACGAGAAGGTCGTAAGGTCTATAATGCGGCGGGAGGCCGCGTGCCAGTAATTTAGAAGGCCGAGGAAACCAGTAGGCGGCAAGGCCGCATGCGAGAGGCCGCATGCGAGCCGCGTAGAGGGCTGAAAGTACTGTAAGGCGTTGTGGTTGCGGGAGACAGTGTGCCAGCAATAATGAGAGTGGGGATGAGTCATGCATCGGCAAGACGTTAGGAGGGCACGGGCGAAACCTTTGAGGCGGTATGATCGGGTGTGGTTGTAAGCGGTGGTAAGAAAACTGCTGGAAGGCTTGGTTCGAGGACATCGGGTGTGTAGTTTAGAGAGAGTCTACCTGTTGGCGCTGGGGACAGCTGGAAAGTCGTCTGTATCGGTATAGCCGGTATAACCGCCCTTCTGCGTAACACGCCGGCTTGGCAGGCGCGCGGCGCGGCGGCAGCTGGCTATATCACACCGAACGGCTTAGAAGAAGAGTACCGGCAGGTTTGGGTTAAAGACAAAATAGGAGTAGGAGCAAATACCCGCGACTTGGAGTCATTCAAGATTTTCCCTTGAATGGATTTAATGCTAGAGTGATAGTAGGAAGCCAGAGTAAGATCAGAGTGGGGTAAGCTGATTCAATGTGATGTTAGGAGACAAGGCTGGATGCCGGAGTTTCAAGGCAGTATGAGATTGGGGTAAGAAATCTGAGTCAAAGAAAGGGGGATGGGCGCGATCGTACCGCAGAGTGAAGGTTATGAGAGGGATCTCATAAGGGACTTGGTGAGAGAGGAAAGATGGCAAAGGAAGAATGAGGAAGAGGTGAACAAAGAGTGTGGAAAGGGTATCAGGATTGGAAAGATGAGAGAGGAAGAATGAGGAAGGGGTGAGGAAAGAGTGTGGAAAGTGTATCAGGATTGAGAAGACTGTTAGAAGGAGAAAGGGATCAACAGCCAGAGAAGGGTAAAGGTGGAAGACGACTATTTCCGCATAACTTCATACCGGAGGTCCATGGCCGAGCATGATATATAGGATACTATTTGTCATATTGAAACGACTACCACATCCAAGGAAGGCAGCAGGCGCGCAAATTACCCACTCCCGACTCGGGGAGGTAGTGACAAAAAATAACAATACGGGAATCTTTCAAGGCCCCGTAATTGGAATGACTTTATTTGTAAGACACAGCCTCAAAATGTAATATAAATGGCCGTGGACTAATGATGCTAATATGGCCGTTCTATGTGAAAAATAAGTAACATAAACGTGGTTACATCAGAGCTAATTCAATGTTCGCCATCTTGGATTTAACCAATGACGTCATCACATTAGCATATATCATGAATATTGAATTTTATACCTTTTCTTTAATTATGTGAGCTGTTATTAATATTAAAAAGGAAGTATAATTAAGGGCACCCGAGACCTCAACTGAGACATTGACTTTATTGTTTTTTTAGGCATTGCTCTGATCAGCGCATTTTGCTCTTGTCGTTAAAGAACTGATCAGTTAAAGTGCCCTAAAGTTAGCCCAAAATGTTTCAATGTTTTGTAGCCAAAATCTGGACAAAGGGCCTGGAAATGTATTTAGCCGTTGCCATGACAACGAGGGGTTCCGAGCCAAAAAATATTTTGACGGGTTATGTACCAAGTACTATCAAGTGCAAAAATTGATTTTTTTAACCGGTGCCACCATTGTTTGACCCTTACAGTTAATCAGTTCCGGAAAGGTGTACTGTTGAGGGTTAAAACATCTTGCTAAGTTATTGTCATAAAAACGTAATGGTATACCACACAAGTTTAACAAAAAAGTGTTTATAATAAGAATATCAAGGTCTCCTTTAACCCTAAACAGTACACCTGGGGTCCGCGCGGACCCCAGCACTATATATTCTGTAATATCTTTTTTGTTTCTAAAGATTTTTTCTGAAATTTTAGGTAATTGTCACCAACAAAGTTGTCTCTCAATACAGTGCAGAAAAATCCGTTTCTACCATTTATAAAAAAAATTATATCTGATTTTCTTTTGGGGTCCGCGCGGACCCCAGCCGGCTTTCGATCATAATGGATACACTGGCGTTCTTATACATTACCTTATTTCCGTTTTTATATGTTTTTATGCACTCATCGTATGTCTACCAAGTTTTCAGAGAATGGTGTTGTAATAGAATTAAATTTTGATAACTTTGGTGTAATTATGACGTCATATGACGTCAGAGCTAATAATATAGTCCGCCATATTGGATTTTGACCAATGACGTCATCAAATTAGCATATTCTATGCATATTAAATGATTTAACATATTTAATTATGTAAGATGTTATTCATGTTGGAAAAGAAGTGTAATTTAATATAAAACTCAGAAAAATTTTATGTTATAATCAAAATTAAAAAAAAACTGCCTGCTAGAAACCCGTTGCCATGGCAACACAAAAACATCAACTTACTAGTATTAAACTAATATGAACTTTTATCCAGAGACATTTTAGGAATGGTCTCCAAATTTGATACTTCTAGCGCAAGCCGTTTAGCCGCTATCTGAGATCAAAGTTGGGCCTCAAAAGCCCCTTCAGTCTGAAATGGGTTTAAAAATCGGGTATTTCTTCTTGTCTTCACCAAAAGATAGAAAAAGTTCAAAATGTATGATTTTTGTATGTAATGTGGACACAGATGTTACCACATCAGTTTGCAAAACAATTGAGCTGGTAGCTTGTTGATAATTTCTAAAAATCAGCAAAAACTGTTCTGGGGTCCGCGCGGACCCCACGTGTACAGATTAATCAGTCCGGGAAGGTGTTCTGTTGAGGGTTAATATAGTTGTTAATATTATTTGTACTATTTAACAATTTCTATTTTAATGTATAATATATGGTATCATACAATTTATGTTGTCGGGGGAGATCACGGGGCAGGCCACAACGGCTTGTCTATTATTATCTAGCATATTTCTTATGTTATGTTTATCTTCTTTCTGATAACACGTCAATAAAAGCAAAATAGAGTATACATACTTTTGTTAGGTGTAGATATTTTGTTTTATGTTGTTAAGGAGGGAATGATATGAATATGCAAATATACTTGTATATGAATAAGCAATTTCCGTTGTCTGAATATCTGCATAATCGCAACCAAGGGCGAGTTTGTCTATAATCTTGCTAGACTGTCCGTTTATTTAATTAAGATTGATTATTTGCGTTGTCCTGTAGACCATCTTTGCCACATGCTTTCAGAATGTTTAGGACAAATAGAAAAAAAATTGCAATGCAAACTTAATTATCAGAAAACCATCGAACTACAGCTAAAACTGTCATGTTGCTACGTCTACACCAACCGTGATGGATTCTGCATCTACTAGTATCTTCATAGGGTCTCTGAATACTTCGTAAGGCCCCGATGTGATCGATGGCGCGGCGTAAGCAACATTCCTGGTCATGTCGACACTAAAACAAAGCTAAAAAAGAGTGAAGCCATACCTTTAGCCTGCATATTTTTAAAGCTACATACATTAAACCAGCGTCTGTTTTCAAGGCACCGGATCGTGTTGCAGGTTGAACTATATTCTACATTCCAGTGCCAGATGTGTCTCGGATTTTTGGGACATGTAATATCAAGTCCATCAGAGGTGTTTACCTAATTTCTTATGTAAATTAGATCTCAATTTGCATATGTATCCCATCTACACCTGAACACCTCGCTACCTTAAACAATGAAAAACCATCCAACCCATACTCCAGTTATTTGCAACCAAACAAAATCTGAAACAAAATCTGCAATCTGAAACAAAAAAACCTCTAAGAACAGTTGCAAAGAAGCTGCTAGAAGCTACACCACATAGTCCCAGTCTCTACACCTTTCGACCTCTTTTAAAATTATTATCAACCTAGCACTTCCGAAAACTTTTACCTCAAACTTTGAAACGTTACCCCAATACATAAAATAGCCGTCAGGAGGCCTATTATCAAACTTGACCTGTGCCTTTCTGTCCCTAACTAACCAATAAGTATCATGAACCATTCGTGTTTTTAGAATTGTATTGTACACAAACAAACCCCCTAAAATATACAACTCTCCGCAGCAACTTGGGGACATGATAAGATACCCACATTTGAACTTGAACTTTGTTTCTATAACCGTTGCTTGCCTAACAAATATTATTAATGATTTCGAGTTATCCTGAAAACATGCAATCAAACATACAAGTGCCCCAAAACTGCACCGCAATACGATTAGAAAAAGCCAGGTGGTCCGATTTTGAAATTAAACTACATTTTTAAAGGAATTACCCACATACTTAAAATAAAAAAAATCAATCCACAAATGCTTAAGTTATGACCTTGACCTAAATACGTAGATAAGCCAGAGCTGCTCTAATAAAAGTAAACTGAAAACAAACCTTTCTGACGAAAACAACAATCGAACTTAGGGGAACGGGTGAAGAGTGGTTTTCGTGGTCTGGAAATTGCCCTTTAATTTGAATGCCACAAGTACAATTACAAACACCTTCCTTTTTCCTTTCTATTCCCCTTTTTATACTGTTAGAAACACTTTCCGAGGCTGACAATCTCAAACTGAGACTTCTCCACCAGATAATCCATCAGGAACACAGAGATCATCACGCTGTCGGGGTTGTCGGAGTCTAAAGACAGGATTCCACCACTTTCCTTCAGCTGGTTGTCAATCAGACGGAGTGCCTTCGGAACCCGCGCCACGTCATGGTGTTGATAATAGTTTTCCCACGTCAAGATCTCATCTATCATCAAATGCATTATTTTAGATTTAATTTAATTCCGACCAAATATGTTTATAGATAATTGCACCTGGAAAGGAAACAGAAGTTTTTAAAAGAAGAAAGTGGAGAGCATGACACTGTCGACAAATAACGGCGACAATGATAAATTACACTATTATTTACACTAATTTATCATATAGCCGGGTGACGTTGACCAATCAGAAGGCTCCATTCCACATTCCTTATGACGCCGTAATGTCACAAATAGAGTCAAAATCGGGTATTTATTCATCCCAATCCATACATTAAACAAACCCAATAATCACCCGCATATGACCTAAGGTGACCCAATAGAACACGGCTCTAGTTCTAAAAAATCCAAAAATAACTTAAGTTGTGTTCCATATAACCCCTGGTGACTCCCATAAGAACACCTGTTCCCTGCCTGTGACCCAGTTAACGTGAACTCTACCCAGTAACCTCAGGTGACTCCAGATGGAACTATGTTCTATGTTCTATTCAGCATGTGCATTGTGTCACTTACTGCATCAGTTTGGATAGGCTATCGTGTAAGCTATATGATAATAGTGTTAATGTCCCGCCCTTTCTCGGTGAATATGGTGTGATAACGAAAGCCTTGCCAGTTGCTATAACCACCTCATAAAGCCACCTCGTTCGCTGCGCTCACTTGGTGGCTTCATTCTGTGGTTATAGCAACTGACAAGGCTTTATCACACTATATTCACCTCGGGGTGGGTCATTAACCCTTAAATATTGTACAGCTATGAAAATAAGATCCTGATTTGCTTTACTCAAATCTATCTTATATGATTTAGATATGGCATTAAAATGATTTTGTCATTTTACATAGTTAAGCCATACCGTAATTAATTACTTAATCGAATGATTCATTCACAATAAATATGTTGGTATCATACCTACGTGCAGAAGAATCTCATTTGAAGTTGTCATGTTTCGACAAATGCAATTAACTCACAAGCAATATCAAGAAAATGTCAAGAAACATAACTATCTATGATAAAGAAAAAATATGTACAACTGACGTTATGAGAAGTAGGTGATAAAAAACATTTAATATATTCATTTAATATAATTGATGACGTACCTTTTGGTGGAAATGTAACAGTGGGGACTATTATCCTGAGTTTCCGGTTCTCAGCTACAGTCTTGATCCTGTCCTGTACAGTGACTGGTAGATAGTAGAGGACGGGTATTCCTACTTCGTTCAGACGCATCTCAGAACTGACCACACTCTGGCGAGTTATATTGATGTTTTGCATCTCAAATACTCCGTAAGGGTATAGCTGATTCTATATTGGAAATGAAAACAAAGAAAACATGACTTTAAAGCAAGCATGGGGTCTTGTTTTAGTTCCTTGCATTGTCCATACTTTCAATACATTTTAAGAATTCCAAGCCTACCAAGACTAGAAATAAAAGCAAACATGAGTTTGACGACCGTTCACCGATCTTAATGATGTTTATCTTTAACGATGACGATGCTTAGCTCAACCCTTAAACACCCGAACTTTTTTGTGACGTTAATGCCCGAGCGGGGTCCAAATGGACCCCATTTGGTTTCTTTTTAAATTTATATTCCTTTTTGTATTCTTTCAGTGATCTTTGCACATACGCATGTATATTGGTTAAACATAGTAAGAGGTATATTTTGGCAGGATTAAGTGTTTAAAAATTCCAGCTCATTATCATAATTTATGCAAAAAATAGGATAAGGCATGCAGGCATGAACACGGGGTTGACCTTTGACCTCATATTGTCAAACCTCTGAAAACCTGATGACCTAATTCCTGAGGTTGAGGTTACTTGGCAAACTGCATAATATTAAAGCAACAATGCTTCATTGAAGACATATTGAGGACATCCGAACGATTTTGTGTGTAGGAAAGTGCAAATACATGGCTGCGGTCCATTTGGACCCCATATGGTCTTACATAAGACTTCCGTTGTTATTTTTACAAATTTGTGCCGATCTTTAAAAAAATTAAGAGAACTTGTAGAAGATGTTTAGACAAAGTCACTGGAGGAATTTTTTTTCGAATGAAAAAAAAAATTCAAATAGCACATAAAACATACCTCTGGGGTCCAAATGGACCCCGTTTGGGTGTTTGAGGGTTAAACGACAACGGGGCCAGGGTACGAAATAAGATACGGTAAAAAAAAACTACTCAAACAACAGGATATGATTTTTAAAACGGTCGAACGCATCCGCTTTCTTTTGTAAGTGAAACTGTCACTAGAGAGTTGTCAGAAATAATATCATAAGTACGAACTATTGATTGACATGCAAATAGGCGAAGAAAATGTTTTGGAAAGTCCAAAAGGGAGTAAAAGTTAGAGAAGTAAAGACAAGGATGATATACATTTGTCAAGTACTAGTAACTTACGTTTAAGTAGACCTTAATGTTCTATCATAAACACTATTTGTTAGTCTAGTATTGTATACCAATACGCATTTTCAAGAATATCCTATATATACGGTTTAAGGAAATAAAATCACATGAATAACTTTATTAACGTCATACGTTCTACATCAGAAATCACATCCCATACAAGGTACGATCAGACTTGACAATGAATGGGATTGAGGTGCTTTGGATACAAGTACACTTGCCATTTTCCAAACCAATGTTGGTAGCAGTTCTTTATAGACCACCAAGCTCTAATCGAGCCTACCTTGATTCACTACTCATGTGCATAGAGAAGGCAACCAGTGAAAGCTCGGAAATCTGCATCCTTGGTGATTTTAATATTGATTGGAATGTAAATTCACCCATGAAAGAAGACTTGCTTAACTGTGCTACAGGGTGTGACCTAACCCAGATCGTCACTGTCCCGACCCGCAAGAGCCTGAATAAACACGGTCAAGCAACATCAACCTGCATCGATCTTGTATTCGTGAAATCTCCGACCGTGTACAGCAAAGCGAAGGCGACATCCTGGGGTTGTACCGACCACAACATCATCACCGTGACAAGGAACACCAAAGTGCCGAAACAACAACCGCGAGCAGAATACAAACGAAGCTACAAGACTTTCAACACAAATGACTTTATTGATGATGTTATGTCTGCTCCTTGGAATGTAGTAGAACTGTTTGATGATGTGGATGATTCTGTGTACATTTTTACTACCCTATTTAACATGTTTGCCAATGTCCATGCACCTGTAAGGCGTTTCACTGTGCGGTCCAACCAAGTTCCATGGTTGGATGCAGAGCTGAAAGAAACCATGTTAATGAGAGATGAAGCAAAAGCTATGGCAGATGCTTCTATGTTACCATCTGATAGAGCTGTGTATAAGAAACTACGGAACCATGTGGTAAAAATGAACAGACGAAAGAAAGATCTTTACTTTAAGACTAAGATAATGGAGAATTCTAACAATCCCAAACAGTTGTGGAAATCAATCAACACATTCCTTGGCCGTGGCAATACTCACTCCCCATCTTGTGTGGAAGCTGATGGCAAGTTTATTACTAAACCACTTGACATTGCAAACTACTTTAATGACTATTACATAGACAAGATTAAAACCTACAGAGCAGATACAGATTCTCCAAACTCAACTGTAACTGATCTTATAGATCAGAACATTATGTCTGACAAAGAATGTCAACTGGAATTCCACACAATCAGTAGGGAGAATATTCTGAAGCTGTTGAGTGACTTACCTATGACAGCAACATGTGGTGTAGACCAGATGGAGAACAGATTAATCAGACTGGCTTCTGGGTATATAGCAGCACCTGTACGCCATATTGTCAGTCAGTCTCTAACAACGGGCTGCTTCCCTAGCCAATGGAAATCAGCAAAAGTACGCCCCCTACCAAAAATCCCAGAATGCAGCTGACAGGGAAAAATAGTCGGCCAATTAGCCTATTACCGGTGTTGAGCAAAGTGTTAGAGAGAGTGGTACATGACCAGATTCTACATTATGTAACTGCTAACAGCATTGTGTCAACTGCACAACACGCATATCGTCCTAACCACTCAACCACTACTGCCATGGTTAAGATGACAGACGACTGGTTGTCAGCTATGGATAAAGGGGAGCTTGTTGGAGTTGTATACTTAGATTTTAGCGCAGCATTTGATCTTGTTGATCACGCTATTCTCTTGGCTAAACTTAAATCTTACGGGTTTCAACTAGATGTTTTGGCTTGGTTTGAAAGCTACCTACAGGGCAGAACACAGGTTGTTTATGTTAATGGTCATTTTTCCCAGCCATTGGGGCTTGACTGTGGAGTACCACAGGGCAGTTGTTTAGGTCCATTGTTATTTACACTGTATACGAATGATCTACCGTTAGCTGTATCACAATGCTCGACCGAAATGTTTGCCGATGATACATCACTTTACAGGGCTGCCAAATCAGTCAGTGCTATTGTTGCAGCTTTACAACCTGATCTTGTAAAAGTGACAGACTGGGTCAATGCCAATCGTCTTGTCATGAACGTACTGAAAACAAAATGTATGCTTTTTGGAACAGCCCGCCGGCTAGCTCTTCTACCTGACACATCTTTGAATCTTGCAATTGGTTCGAAGAAGGTAGAACAGGTAACCGAAGCAGTTCTCCTGGGTTTGCATATGGATCCATCGCTTTCTTGGAATCTCCATGTTAAACACCTCGTGGCAAAACTATCAAGAAATCTAGCCTATGTTAGAAGATATGTGTGTTACATGCCAGATGCTGTGTGTAAGGTTGTAATCGAAGCTTTAGTGCTATCAATCTTGAACTACTGTTCACCTATACTAGCTAGTGTTTCAGAGTCATGTACTAAGAAGATACAAGTTATACAGAACAAAGTCTGCAGGCTGGCTCTGAAATGTTCGTTCGATACACCAGTTGTCAAAATGCACTCTGATCTTGGTTGGTTATCGGTGAGAAATAGATTTGATGTCAGTACTCTTAAGTTATTTTTCAAGATTGTAACCACAAGTGAGCCACAGGAGATCTATAAATCTCTGGTACCGGTTCATGCGTCTCACAGGTATTCCACTAGGCAATCAGTGCACGACTACTCATTGCTCAAACCTAACAACAATAGTGGAAAGAGGATGTTTGTTTACAGATCTGTAAAGTTGTGGAACGCATTACCGAGTGAAGTTAAGACTACTGTATTAGCAGCTGATGAGAGGCAGTTCAGGAAAATGACACGTCAGCTTTATGGAACTTAAAGGCTTACCCTGACAATATTGTATATATTCGAAGCAATTTAGTAACTCACAAGTTTTATTGTTGATTTTAGTCATAATTAGTTAAATGACCTCTGGCCTCAACCTCAATTATTTTAATGTGTAATTGCAATGATTGTATGTATTCAGTGCTTGTATTTTATGTGTTGTACTGTTAATGAGCCCTGGAAGATTAGCCCCTCATGGGGCTAAAGGGCATCTCAATAAATCAAATAAATCAAATATTACGTACTAGTTCTCCATCATCTAAGGTTTGGTGGCCATACGATGTACCTTTTCCGACTTACCGGCCAAAGCCCCCCCCCATGTAACGCGAGCATGTTTTTTCCCATGTATGCAAATATACTATATAATAAATGTAAAATTTATGCATATATGCAAACATTTACATACGAGCATACTTTAGTTCAACTTATATACCCTTTGTATCATAAGCCATTCATCCTACATATACCTTGTTGCACTTAAGTGTGGGAGCGTGAGGTGTGCGTGAGGTGTGCGTGAGAGTACATCAGGTTCAGGAAAAATGGATTAGAGTGCGCAGGGGTGCGTGTGGTTGCAAATGGTGCATGGGAGTGTACAGGGAGCTTGAAAGTTCAACAGGATCAGGAAAAGAGGATGAGAGTGCGCGGGGTGCATTGGAATTCACAGGGTGCGTAGGAGTACGTAGGGTGCGTGAAAGTGCATATGGGTGCGTAGGAGTGCACAGGGTACGTGAGGGTGCACAGGGGTGCACAGGGCGCGTGAGGGTGCAGAGAGTGTGTGGGGGTGCGCAGGGTGCGAGGAAGTACGTCAGATTTAGGAAGGATGAATGGGAATGCGCGGGGGTGCGTGGGGTTGCCCAGGGTTCGTGAGAGTTAAGAGGGGTGCTTGAGAGTGTATCTGGTTAGTTGGAATGCACAGGGTGCGTAAGAGTACATCAGGTTCAGGAAGGATGAATGAGAGTTCACTGGGTGTGTGGGGGTGCATGGGAGTGTGTGGGAGTGCATCAAGTTCAGGAAGGATGAATGAGAGTGGGAGTGCGAAGGGTGCATGGGAGTGCTTCGAGTTGAGGTCGAAAGCATGGGAGTGCAAAGGGGTATATGTAGGATAAATGGCTAATGACACATAAGATATACCAGGATTTACAGGTTGTGTTGGTTTCTTTGTTAAAAGTTGTAGTAATGTATGCACTTATGTAAGCGATTGCATATAGTGTTTATGCATAAATTTTGCATATGCTTATAAAGCATATTTGCATATATGGGAAATACCATGCTCCAGTTACCTGTGGCGGCATGGGAGTTATACAAATGTATCTGGTCCCCCCTCCCTGTGGTTTCCCGATCTCATACCTTTGCCAAATGATGTTTATCTTGACTGACAATTATACATTATTACCCCTGATTGTGCAAAAAGGATCCTCATGTTCATTATATCAATTATAATATTCCAAACAAAAAGGCAGTCTTATATTAAAGGCACTCTATGTAGTTTTTTGCGCAAAAATTTGGAATATTCTAATTATACTAAATTTCAGTGTTATTAACAGTTACTATCACTTTTCAACACATTTGTGTCATTATTTCACATTTTTTACGTATATTTTGTCCGTTCAAACAGTCCTTGTTGGGTACCCGGTGCCACCGGTTTGCTCAGAACAACAACAACAACAACAACATACAGGGGTTGCCCCTTAGGGTGGCTAATTGACCCGGCATGCCAGGCTTGATTGACAGGGGCACATGTGACAAGATATAGCCTCCTTAGAAAAACACTCAAATCTTTCACATGAGGTCTGGTGGAATATAATTATCAACTTGGAGTATTTTGTTGGGCATGAATAAACTGTGGTCATTATCCCTTCAAAAGAGATAAAAAAAATCTGGTAAACGGTTAGGTATTTCAGAAACTGGTAAGCTATCAACTGACACCCCACTGGGATGTAGGTCAAACCACTAGCAGTGGACAATACAATGTACCATATGTGCGGTTTGGCCAGAGGTTGTATAGAAGATCATTCACAGTTTTCTAAGCTTCTAAGGAGCAAGGATGTTGTATTTTTTGTTGAGGAGTATGATTTTGGAATACTAAAGGGTTAAGTCAATGTACTATGTAAAGAAAAGAATGAAAAATATACTTTTTGTATTGTCAAAAAAACTACATAGAGTGCCTTTAACAATCAATGCCGTTTTTGGTATTTTCTCATAAAGTATGCAAATGAGGTCCCAATTTGAATACATGTTTTATAATGTTCACCTTCACTGAGCTTTCGAATACCAAAAGTATGAAATTCTATACAGTTACAATTACATAATTATAACATGTTCCAATTGATTATGCAAATTAAGTCTACATTTACATAATCAACCTGCCTGTGTTTCTCTCGTTCTCAATTACCAAGCTTCAATAGTCCTATCATGCAATGCAGCTGATTAAAAAAAATTCCCCATAAATTATGCAAATTTCATCCTTATTTGCAGAATTGTCTTAAAATTGTTTCAAGCATTACGTAAGCTACCTACATACCGAAAATCACGACGATCTGTCAATCGGTTCTTGAGTTATTCTATTTTAAATATTTTCAACAGATAGCCCTGCAGATACAGGGCAAGCCGCTAAGGGGCCCAAACTCACGTCACTTATTCCCCAGCACAAGAGCTTGGTACCTTCATGAGACCGGTCTAAAGGGTGTACCAGTTTTTGTCTGAGGGTTGAGTGAGGTTTGAAGTTTTTGGCAATTTGAAGTTATAAAAGATCGGTAGGAGTTTTTCCTTTCTTGATCTTGATCTTGATTGGGTTCTGCACAACACCCCTAAATTGGGGTAAAGCGTGTAGGGGGGCTGTGCGATGCGTTATTGCTGCGTCCTCAGATGCTATAGTACTGCAGCGTTGATCTTCGTGGGTTCCGCAGTATCTGTTATTTCTTGAGGCAAATTGTTCTAGTCTCTGACAGTTTGTAGAAAGTATGAATATTTATATCAGTCTTTATGGAATGTTAGTGGCTTGTATGAGTTGGAGTTGAAGTGTCGCGATTGGCGCTGGATAGGCGTCAACAAGGTTTTGACCGGAAGGGCTGTTTTTAAGTGTCGTGCTTTTTGTAGTAATGTGAGTCTACTTGCTGTGCGTCTGTTCTTTAATGTATCCCACCCTAAATCTGTGACCAATGTGGTGGTGCTAGTATATGTGTCATGAGTACTAGTAACGAATCTGGCCGCTCTTTTCTGCACGGATTCTAATTTGTGAATATGTTCCTTGTAATGCAGCACTAGCATATTTTAGATGTGGTCTAACTACACTAGTTTGTGGATTCATCTCGACCCGTTTAGGGCAATTATAAAGATTGCGTTTAACAAAACGTAGGGATTTATTTGCTTTGGAAGTAATATGGTTGATGTGTTCTGTCCAAGAAAGTTGGTTTTTCAAGTTGATCTGTTCCAGTTGTTCTGCCATGCGTCTAATGTATTTATATCATCTTGCAGAAGGATGTAATCATTTTTATTGTTTATTTGTCTATAAATAACAAAATCGTAGGCAAAAAGTCGAATGTTGGAATTAAGGTTGTCTGCCAAGTCGTTAATATATACTAGAAACAATAAAGGTCCTAGCAAAGTACCCTGTGGTACTCCGGAAACTACTTCTGCCCAATCTGAGACCCCCCAACTACTACCCTTTGTTTACGTTTTTTTAAGAACTTAGAAATCCACTATAGGAGCCTGCCTCTAATACCACAATTATGTAGTTTTAAGGGAAGACGGCTATGAGGTACTTTATCAAAGGCTTTGTCAAAATCAGTTATGATTAGATCAGTTTGTGATTTGGGATCTAAGGAAAGAGCTAAATCATTGGTTGTTTGCACAAGTTGAGTCTCACACGGATGCTTCTTCCTAAAGCCGTGTTGGTTTTCTGTTAAAATGAAAGTAATAATCCTACAGCATATAAGTTAATACTTCGCCCTACCGGTCTCTTGTGCCGCCCTACCTTTACCACTCGCGACACATGGATTTAAAGCCCATTTTCAGTTCTTGAGAACGCGTTTCCAGAAAAACAAGATGGCAGGTGGTCGCCCTCCCCCTTTGGTGCTGTCTATTCTTGCTGGCTGAGATTTCGGAGTCTGGGAACAAGTTTTTGCCTCAATTTCCGGTCCTGGGTGTTCTTGAAGTCCTCCAACAATGTTTTGGAAGGTTTTAGTCTTTATAATTTTGCTCGCGACGAGGGTTTTAGATGGCAAAGTGACAATAGTGATGTTGACCTTGTTTCTGTTTGTCAGTCGTTTGCACGTTTGTGTTTTTCTAGACTGGTCCGAAGGTTTGAGAGCTTTGTTGAAGGTCAAGTTTTCGTAGTCATACTTGTTCAGGGCACGTCGGAGGTGTCTATTTTCGTCTGGTTTAGCTTTGTATAATTGAGCATGTTGTCTGTGCGATGGAAGATAGTATAAGTCGTCCTGACTTCACTCGAATCACTTGATATAGTGCAAAGCAACATCATTTACATTGTTACACCGTTACCAACAGCATGGAAAAGGTAAATATCGATTAAACGTCTACATGTAAAGAAGGATAAAGAGGAAAAATAGATACAGATAACAGTATAAAATTACGAGCTCATGTAACCTCGCGGATTCCGATGGTAAAGCGTGTTGCCCAAGTCCTTAAAACATCCTGATGCGCCTCTGCAAAATCTCCGTACACAAACAGGGTTATCGGAGCAAGGGCTCGGTGCGCCTTCAGTATGGCCACTAGTTTATTAGCGGACTTGAGGTTCATCCCTACTTGTACAACAACAGACACGGAGAGTTGTCCGGACGGAGCTGGAGAACATGTTGAGAGAACCTGCCCTTCCTTTCCAGGAGCATCTAATGGCACTTTTAATTAAAAGAAGTTAGATTATCCCATTCTGTTATATTTTAAATGGCTTTGATACATGAAATCTTTATATACGTTTACTAAAAATCGATGCAACTAAAGCTTCGCCAACTATCTTTGCTTTCCTTTCAGTTACTCCAGTTACAAAATTTCTTGGAAATGCTCTTCTTTTACATATCAATTTAGATGAATATTGTTCTGTAGCATTAAAACCCGGACATGACAAAGTGATTTGTAAGTTGTGTGTCGTCTCATGTTACTAACGCTTTTGTCCACATTTACCTGAAATGGATGCAGAGCGTCGAAGTCGGCATAAGTTCTCTCTTCTCCTGCCCAGTACGTCTGAGTAAATCCAGTCATTCTGACTTTTTTCATAAGTTCCTGCCTCTTACTGGCACTCCAGCCAGTAGGGTGCCAGAAGTGGGTCTCCCCGTAAAATCTTGCATGTGTAAAACAAAATACAAGAAAATTATTTCATATGGGGAACATTAATACATATTTTAAGTTTGATTATACGCATACCTTTAATATAAGAGAAGGTTAAAGAGATATATTAAGACAGATAAAATGTAGGCAACGAAAAGGTGTTTTCGTTGAAAGCACAAATATCATTAAATACAAAATTCCATTGAGCTTTTTTATTAAAATTATAAAATGCTAGGCAAAGAAGAGTTGAATGACATAATTTTTTCTGCCTAGTGATAAGTGTTTTAATGCCTTGTTATCAATTTTTTACACAAAAACACAACGCTATTACCGCATCGGGTCGTATCCCATGTGACGTAATCAATGCTTTTAGATTGCCTAAGCAAGGTGTTTCATATACTAGTGTGCAGAAAAGGATATCGAACGACTGTACTCATAAATCATGAACCGGACACGTGCGGAAAATTTGACATCGAATTTAAAGCTCCTCTGTAGTACTGTTTGGACCTGCCAATTATGGAACTTGACCTTCGTTTTTGCTCCCTCTTCCCATCCACTACATAACATTAACAACTATTAACTGATTTTCGAGTTATGCTGTATACAAAACACACCCCTCTGAAGCAAAATAGAAACATGACAAGATAACCATTTTAGAACTTGGCTTCGTTTCCATAACCGCCACGCAGCCATTTTAAATTATTAAGATCGATTCAAATTTCAAACCTTTTCGAATATTGCTGAAAGGCCCCCTTTAGTACCGTTGGGCAGGTGGCATTTTTATTACATGACTTACATTTCCACAATAGCTACTCACATATAATATATATATATATTTTTTATTTGCAAATTCGACATGGACAATACAAGACATGGTGATGAGGTACTCTAGCTATAGCTAATTTTAGCCTCACCACCAAACATAGAATACAATTACAGTACATAACAAAAAACAGAGAACAGCAAGTGGGTGGGATGGGTCGTTAAGTAGTACAAAGAAATGTTTAGTAGGCTATATAATAAATCAATCAAGTACAAACCGTTTGGTGTCAACAATATAAGTTTGAGTGGTTAGCAAGATATTACAGTTTGTATCATAGTATAAATCAGGTAATCCTCTGAGTAAAATATCACATAACAATTGTTCAGACATATTGAAAACATCAAAATCAAAGCCTACCAAATTCTGGAGATTGCTGAGTAGGGTGACTCTTTGTTGATTATATAAAGGGCAGTGTAAAAGAAAATGTATGACACTCTCACAACGAGACCCGCAGATACAAGCCGCACTAGGGGCTAAATTTCTTAAGAATAAGCTGTGGTTAAGACTACAGGTCCCGATGCGGAGACGCGTGAGTAATGCGCAGGTGTACCTGGGGCCAATGCTAAAATGCCGGTAAAAAGGGGTACGTACTGACTTCACTAAATACTTCTTATACAATGAAAGATTCAGAGATCGAACAGCTACATCAAGACCATTCCAGTGATGCGTAGCATATGGAATGAAAGACTTTTGATACCTAGTTGTAAGACAAAGCGGTAGCCGTAAATTAGATTTATTACGAAGATCATATAAGGTCGAAAAAGAAACTTCGGGAGAGATCAGGTCCCTGAGATACTGACGGGTATGGCCATGGATTACTTTGTACATCATGATTAGTGAGTGAACATGGCGACGATCAGAGAGTCTCTCCCAGCCTAAATCAACAAGGAGTGAGGAGTAAGAAGACCCTCTGACAGCCCCTAAAACTGTAAGTGCATATTCATATTGGACTCGTTCTAATCGTCGTATAAAATATTTAACTTCTCGAGTCATGAGAGTAAGAGGGAAGACATCTTTACGACCTCGATTTGATAGAATGTATTTTCTAGTAGTTCCTTTGACTTCTAGGTTATTCTTTTATCTTTTTATGTACTATGTTACTCAGTACTATATGCAAGTAACGTCATACTCCAATGTATGCATTTAGGCCATTGTCATGAGTATGCAAAAAAAATCAAAGATTCAATTATGACATTGACCTACATACAGACACACAATTGGTCCATTCGGCCCAAACCGAAAACATACCCTTCTGACGAAAGCAATAGCTAAACCACTTAAAATGTTGAAAATGTGTTTCCGTTGGTACTGAAAAAATTACTAACTTATCCAAATTTGTTAATATATTTTTGAATATATTAAAAGAAATTAGAAAGAAAGAAATGACGGTCTTAACCCTCAAACACCCGAACTTTGTGACGTTAATGCCGGAACGGGGTCCAAATGGACCCCATTCGGTTTCTTTTATATTTATATTCCTTTTTGCATCCTTTTAGTGACCTTTGCACATATATTGGTTAAAAAATTAACACGTTCATTTTGGCATGATTAAGTGTTAAAAAATTTCAGCTCATTATCATAATATATGCAAAAAAAGATGAACCCTGAAGGCATGAACATGGGGTTGACCTTTGACCTCATATGATTTTCAAATTGTCAAACCTCTGAAAACATGATGAAATAATTCCTGAGGTCGAGGTTACTTGGTAAACTGCATAATATTTTTGAAGACATATTGAGGACATCCGAACAATTTCGTGTGTAGGAAAGTGCAAATACATAGCTGGGGTCCGTTTGGACCCCAGACGGTCTTACATCAGACTTCCGTTGTTATTTTTTTCAAACTTGTGCTAATGTCCAAAAAAAATTAGGAGAACTTGTAGAAGAGGTTTACTGACTAAGTCACGGGAGGAATTTTTTAGAATGAAAAAAATCAAATAGCACATAAAAATATACGTCTGAGGTCCAAATGGACCCCGTTCGGGTGTTTGAGGGTTAAGGTTGTACCAGTTTTTGTCTGAAGGTTAAGTAAGTTTTGAAGTTTGTTACAACGTTAAAGCTTTTGAAGATCCGTTGCATTTTTCTTATATTCCTTGGACATACGGAAAAAGTATTGTTGACCTTGTTTCTGTTGGTGAGTCGTTTGCACTTTTCTGTTTTTCGAGACAGATCTGAAGGTTTGAGAGCTTTGTTAAAGGTCCAGTTTTGGTAGCCACACTTGGCCAGGGCACCAAGGAGGTGTCTGTTTTCGTATGGTTTTATCTAAAGTAATGATGTTGTCTGGAGTTTTGATCACTGCTAGTCCAGACCACCCGGGCTGAAAGGTACAAAGAAAACCTAGTGCTAACGGCTACAGCCATTTACCACCAAATACAACAGAACCAGGGACACTATTTCAAGCTCTGATTTACAGATATATTAGACAGCAAAACCCGCCGGTGGGATCGAGCAGTTACAGACGTAATAAAGGAAATAATGTACAGCGCCACTATTAACATGGAGAGAGAGAGGTAAGGGTAGAACTCTCTAGGACATAGTGATTGGCGCCCCCAGTTCAAAGACAGATAACACTTAAGCTCCTGATCTTAAACAACAGCAGCTACTTGACTTAATTGCTTTTGAGTTGTATTTTTTGTTTCTTTCTGGACTTTAATATTTAAAAATATTTCTTTACTAATTTTCATATCAATCAATTGTTCTTGCTTTTAAACCCGCTTTTCTGACAACTCCCTGATGAAAAGTAGTGGATGCTACCTGAAACGTCTGACGTTTCCCAAGTCATATTCAGTTGCTTAAATAATTGTTCTTGGTGTAAGTAAAGGGACTGACTTAAAAAAAAAAACACTACCTACTCACTTGTCAATAAGCTTAAATGTACCGTCATGTACCATCTGTTGTAAGATATCGTATTCAGCTCCCTCCACGTCCAACTTAAAGATGACATAATCTTCTTCATTGATGTGTTCACGGATCCACCGTGAGAAGTCGATGGTTTTAACACGGATGTGGCGAGCTAGGTTTCTGGCACCTCCTGTTATGTTGTCCTTCTTTTCGTCTTCATACGGGAACAGCGACCCTCCTCCCATCATCCAATCTTTTGTCTTTCTCAATCCTCTTTCGGGAAACCAGGTAGTCTCTAGATATGACACCGTCCAACCTAAAAGCGTCCATAGTACATGTTAAGCAGATTAGCTTTGGGATGAGAACATAATTATCTATTCCACCAGTTTAGATGGGCTTGCTGTTTGTTTACAACAACAAGTAAGGTTTGTTGTTAGTTAAGGAGTATATATTTTTTATGATCGTAGAAGTGCGTTAGTAATATTTCTGGTAGGGTGAATTGATGTTGTTGTTTTTATGTAGAATACGTGTCCGCACATGTACCCTGCTGCAATCATGAAAAGTCCTTTGATGATGTACCTTGTTATCTTTGCATATGGTTTCCTGACATTTTCAAGCCCTGTCATTGGCCTTAGTCGCATGACAAACCATGATGTGTGTTATACTTCGTCACATTACAGTTTGGACTATAATTTCTGTGCAGGCAGGCATACTACTTATGTATTAAGGCCCGGTCACACTGGCCGAACTTTGCTGGAGCGTTCCTTTAACGGTAGGGACGGGGGCCGAATTTCGACAACGCTCGTCACCGCGCCCAAAATGTGGGGGGAAAAATAAAAACACGGGCGTTGACTTAGCGGTGCACCGCTGAAGCCGGCGTTGCTTTAGCGTTGGTTTAGCGGTAGCAAACGTTGGTATAGCGGTGACGCAAGCGTTGGTATAGCGGCGTTCTGCGCATGCGGTTTAGCGGCATACCGCTTGTGACTACGGAGTTGAACGGATCGTTTTGTAGTAGTACAAGTTCTGTTCTGTGTGTGGGGGGACATATAGCTTTAATAAACATCATTTTGTTAATCTAGCTATTCTTGACTACGTTATTTAATTAATAATGAAAATAAAACTTTGCAGATTGCAAAGTTCCCCTGTGACCCAAATAAAGTGATTGTCCGTGTGACCCTTCTTTGAACATTTTACGTGTGGCCCAAAAATAATTGCACACTAGTGCACCAATCATAGCAAGTCTCTCAGCATCCATGGTGATACAGTTTTACTGTAACTTCGAGCAGGCCTGAACTCAACGGCAGCTCGATTCCAAATGAGCACCTGGTCCATTTCTCACCGTACTTATAGCCAAATTCTGGTCCCGCTCCGACACCTCTATACCAACGCCAAACCAAAGTTCATTGCCGACATGGATCGCTGCTTCAACGCCTGACACCGTTCCAGCAACCCCGTGTCCGCTCGTAAAACGCTTGCAACCGCTCCAGCGAAGTTTGTGTAACGTTTGTGCAACGTTTAATCGCCGCCCGGGCAACGCTGGCGAAGCAGCGGTGGTCAAGCGTTCAAGATTTCTGCGTTGGCCTAGCGGACCCAAGCGTCCATGAACTTGCGTCTAGCGATGCCAAACTTTGACTGGGCGTTGGTGGAGCGGGGGTGAACTTTGCCGGGGCGGAAAATTGCCTCCTCCTCACCGCTCGCAATATTTTGTGCAGCTCAAAACTTTCGGAGCGGTAGGAGGGCCCCTCCAGAAACGTCAGCGGTGGCCGGGCGTACACGGCGTTGCTTTAACGGTGGCCAACTTCTGTTTAGCGGTGGTGAGCGGTTTCGAGCGGTGATAAATTTTATTCACCGCTCAAGCAACGCTCCAGCAAAGTTCCGCCAGTGTGACCGTGCCTTTAACCCTACCTAGACGGGGGGGGGTGGCTAAAAGTGCCCGCGGCAACTTTGATGTCACCTAGCGTCTGAACGGCTAGCCGTAGAACGGCCAAACTTGGTGACTTTTCCTAAAATATTGTTGGCAACAATTCTCTATCATTGGAATAAGATAATAATTTTTTGTGTTGCCATGGCAACGGGTTTCTGACAGGCATTTTTTGCTAAATTTAGTACTTTTTGTTTCAACAATAGAATTTTATGGGTTTTATGTCAAGTTACTCATGGTTTCTAATATTAATAACATCCCATATAATTTTATGTAAATTTTATCATTAAATATGCATAATTTATGCTAATTTGCTGACGTCATTGGCCAAAATCCAAGATGGCGGACCATATCATTAGAACAGGTATATAAAGGTAATTTTCATTAAAATTTCATCAATACTTCCATTTCTTTTTCCATAAAAGGTTTAAATGAAGGTCTTTAGTATGTTTACGATGTATTTTAGGCTTTATCATGAAAAAAAAAAACTATTTTTGAAAATTCAAGATTGATGATCCAAGATGGCGGATATCTTAAATATGCATGACGTCATTTTATGACGTCACCGGTGTTACTATGGGCAACATAAGACTTAGTACACCATAATATTCTGTCATAAACACTTTTGGTACAGTTATATTGAATACCATTTAGTTTTCAGGGAAAACCTATTTAGACGGTTTTGGCCAATAAAATCACATTAATGACGTCATAATGACGTCATATTACGTCATAAGGACTTAAAAATTGTAGATATGATAAATTTTCACTAGTACACCATTCCCTGAAAATTTGGTGGCCATACGACATACCGTTCGCGAGTTCTTAGGGGGGGGGGTCAAAAGAGCCCCGGTCCCCCCATGTCAAAAAAAGCCCGGTCTAGGTTAACTTAAAGTTTGTTGATACCAGATGTTACCAAAACAAAAGGACAATGTAGTTCAGCTTTTAGCTTTGTTAACCTGTGTTTTCACACTTTGATTCTCCTTTCAGGAGACGTAGCTGTTAATCAAGGACCAGCTAGACCAAAAGACCCATGTGCAGTACGCCAAAGAGGAGTCAGGACAGGAATGAGTGTGAGGTATGTACTAAATGGTTTCATCCCACATGTGCAAGCATACCCCCCCCCAAAAAAAAAATTACTTAAAACATGATAGTCTTGAATGGTCTTGTTGCAAGTTTGAGTTTGTACGCCTGTCGCACCTCGCTAATGCTGAGTCTAATTGGCCACTAATGCCAGATACACCCCCATCTCCTCTTTTGGATCCTCTACCACCATATCCTACATTCCCCAGTAAATCTGGAAATAAGGGTTTGTTGGTAGCACACCAAAATATTAGGAGCCTGCCAGCTAAACATGTGCATCTGGTGGTTCTTATTAAAAAACTGACATTTACATTCTTGGACTCACTGAGACACATCTAACCAGTGACTACCCCGACAATCTCTTAATCCTTCCAGGATACACTTTGTTACGGAACGACAGAAACTCACGCCATGGTGGAGGTGTAGCTATGTACATTAAAACACATGTTGCTCATCGTGAGAGAAATGACTTTCTCATTGCTGGACTGGAAGCACTTTGGGCTGAGCTAATACCTCCTGTGGGTAAACATGTACTTATATGTTGTATGTATACACCCCCTCATGATACAATTTTTGAGCACTTTAACGACTGTGTAGAAAAGCCTTAGACAGCAACATGGAGATTTTAATCATGGGTGATCTGAACTGTGATTTTCTTGTAAACACCGGCAACTCCAATGAACTGAAATTCCTGTGTGACCTACATGGTTTGACAACCATAGTACAATCTCCCACAAGGGTTACTTAAAAATCTGCAACACTTATAGATGTACTTCTTACCTCCAACCCAGGGAAGTACACAGGTGGCAGAGTATATAACTTACAGTTGTCTTAGTGACCACCACATGGTGTATACTCATAGAGGTAGTAAAACAGTCAAACCTATGCCACAGGTGGTTACTACAAGAATACTTGAGAGCTTTTAGCAGGCCTTGCCACGCAGAGGGGACAGCTGTCCACTTCGGCTTACAGAATAAGTGAGGCAGTCTATTCATGCACGTGACTATGCAAGACAACAGGCTGAGAGAACACAGTCACCTGTGGTCTGGGATACTTATAGAAAGTTACGTAACAGTGCAAAGAACATCATACTGGACTCCAAACGGGACCTTTACAAAGATGTGATAAACAGTTCAGCTAACAGCAAGAGCAGCCTTGTCGGAATGTGGAAGGCCCTCAAAAGGTTGTGTACCTAAGATCCTCGAACGGGCAGTGCACAAACCGATCTACCAGTTTTTGACAGATAACAACCTTCTGTCTAACCGTCTAAATGTCAATCAGGTTTTCGCCGGAAATACTCAACTCAGAATGCTCTACACCTAGTCACTGAGGAGTGGTAAGGCACTAAGGCAATAGATAATGGTAACATCACAGGTGATTGCAGTCTATATTGACCTGTCTAAGGCCTTTGATACCATACACCACAGCATCCATTTGGAAATACTAACAGCCTATGGAGTTGCTGGCCAACCAGCAAAGAGGTTTTTGTCCTACCTTTCCGGTCGGTCCCAATGCACTTCAGTTAATGGTCATATATCTGATTTTTGTACAGTAAACTATGGCGTCCCCAAGGGCTCAAGGTAGCAGAACACAGTATTAATGGGCGACCCCCGGGTCGATGACGCGGGTATAGAAAGTAGTGCAGTGAATATTCTTGAAGGCTGGGTAGAAAGCCTGATAAGAGCGTCAGCCAGATGTAAATTGTGCTGTGTGGTGTAGGAATGTATCGAGTTTGAGACTGTATGATTTGAATTGTGAAGGTTTTGCAGTTCGTGTATATATGCGCCGTATTGCGTAACTGACTTTCCGGGTGAGTCGGCTGCAGTTCAGGTCACGTCCGTAGGAGGCGATTTCAAAGTGTACGTTACGAGCAGATACGCCGACAGGATTTTTTCGTTTCTAGATATTTTGTAGTTTGTACCTTCTTCTGAAACATATTCGATTTTCGTATTTGTGAAGTGCACCCTGCTATAATTCTTACCGCGTCGAAGTGAGTCATCTTGGGGTCCTTAACTATAGAAATCCCCATAGGGCGAAAACTGTGTTCTGCTTCCTCAATCATAGGGCCACTCCTGTCTATTTTATATGTGAATGACATACCCAGTTGAGCTCTTTCATGCCGGATTGCACTTTATGCTGATGATACTGTAGTCTATGTCAGCTACCCAGACCTTGAACCTATTCAACAGGCTTTGCAATCTGACATGGATAGACTTTCCAACTGGTTTGTAGCCAACAGCTTGTCAATTAATGCAAGTAAGTGTAAAGCCATGCTTATTGGGACAAATAAGAGACTATTAAGAACACATCAACTACAAGTGAACATTAATAGGGAAGTATTGGATGTAGTGCCAGTATGGTGTCAGTATGTTTCAGATTTAGAGACTACAGAGAATGCAGAATAGATTAGGTAAACTGATAATAGGTCTTTAGCCAAGAACTCCATCTACGGAGGAGAGATAGACGGCTGCCAACACCTCTAGCGAATAATACGTCTTTATCATTATATGTGGTTAATGTTGCAGTGGGAAATTGCGAAATAGTTGTGTACAGTTTATAAGACTGTGAGGAAATTGACTAAATTTGCGGTTGTATTTATTGCAGATAAGTAGAAAAAACTGACGAAATTATGATACTATTTATTACAATTATAAAACAATTCATTATTAAAGATAACTATGCAAATTACATTAACACTTTCTACATTGCAAAGATAGCATTAAACTAATTTGTCATTACAAATTTTAAATAATATACCCCAAAATCGTACCGTTTTCATACTTTAATGTAAAGAAGGTCCTCAAAATGAGTACCTGCTGATATATTTTATATAATGCATGTGTACGTGTCCTGTTCTAATGAACATGAAGAATTAAGGAATTTCCAATTTATCGATTATGTAAGTAAGGGCCTTTTTTTGCATAATTCGCGATTTATTGTTTAGATATCTAACCAGGCTACATGCGTAATAAAATACGTATGATTGGCTTATCTGCTTTGAAATATTGCACAGGAATCCTCCTGCAATTTCAGAACAAGCTGCTGGGGAGAGCGTACCCAAACCATCTATTCTTGACATGAAATGATATCTGCTAGCCTTAAAAACCAAGACCATAGCGAATCCGGGCCAAAACAAAAAAAAAATCTAGATTTTCTGCTGCTGTGCGAAGGTCAGAAATCGGCTTACATTTGAATTTGACAAGGTATTCCTAAGATTAAGACCAACCTACATATCAAATATCATCACAATCTATCCAGACCTTCGTGAGTTTTTTTTTTAATATGATATGCTGAAACTTAAACACAGACCACAAACAGGCAGATACACAAAGAGACACAAAATAGAACATCTGTTGTTTACCGTTACTTACCATCTTTATTTGACACAGCAACAGGGTTGTGTAGGACCACATCAGAGTACGGTGCATAATATGGAGCAAGGCTGGGATCCATTTCAAAGGAATGGATAAGAAATTCGTGGCCTCCGGGGTACGTCTCTCGGAATAGTTCAACGGTAGACGCAATATTTCCTCCACAGTCCAAAAGAATTTTCCGTTTTCTCTTTATTGAATTTGTATTGACACTATCTGATAGTAAAGAACTCCTGTTGTATAAAACATAGTCAGGATACTTACATAAGGCCACAGTAATTAATGCAAAGACGTCTGTTGCCAAACCGAAACGTTATAAAAACTTATAACATAACATGTTAAACAAATGGAGGGAAAACACAAAACTAGACTCTGATTAAATGATTTGTCTTTTACTTTGATGCAGTGACGCATTTTATTCCTTTATACTAGATGGGGTAATGTTCCCAATTAAAATCATTTGTACAATTATTGAAATTGAAAACGTTCTGTTTCAGTGAAAATGGCAATAAACTTGGCAGAACATAGGTATCATTTTTTGTTTGACAAGGTTTATGATGTGGACTTTTTAGAATGTAGGAATCTTTTTATTTCTTCGCCCGCCTTGTTTTTTCTCTATTGCATTAGATTTGGAGTCTGCGGAGGATGTCATCCATGAAATTTACTTGCTAATCAGAGTACATACACTTCAGATACATTTAAAGATATTTAACCCTATTCAGACTGGCGAAGGGGATTTTGCGGCTTGTTAGATAATTAACATTTCGAGATTTTATGTTTTATTACACAAGCTCTTTAATATTAACAACAAATGTTCTTAGTAACATTCCAAGAGGCACATTTTTCAGAACCTTATCAATCATGCTAAATGCAAAAACAAGGCTTTAACATACGCATACATATCTTGGCCTAAAATATTTTGTTTTCTGTTCCTTTTCATAAGTCTCAAATCTAGGTCAAGTTAAATGCAATTCATCATTATAAAAAAAAAAGCATTGTTAATATTATCGGATATGAAAAGAATTAAAAAACCAGCCGTTATATATGCTAAATATACGTTCGTGCATTCGTCGTGTGCCCAGTAATTTTACCTTTCCGTACGAAATGGATCCCTAAGTTCCTCATCCATCCTACTGGCACGAGGACAACCTGCCTCTGTCACTTGTCTCTCATCTAAATCAGGGTGGTGCGTGACGATGACAACAGCAAAATAAAGAATGGTGATACAGACCCCTACTCCGATACCAAGAAGAACGAAAACGGCCGATGATATTTTCGAACGTATTGCTAGCATCATTGCAGAGTTTATAAATGCAGAAATAAAGAAATGTAGTGCTCAAGCTACCTTTCGTCCGCAGTGTTTTTTTTTAATAGTTTTGCCGTGCCTGTCATGCATATCTATGCTAACCAAATCAGGTTGTCCGTCATCATTAGCCTGAACCAACCAATGATACGGCTGCATGTCATTACTAATTTGGCACATGTTTCATGTAAGACATCACAAATCAGCGTGACCCGATCGTGTGCGCCATGTCTATACCAGTGTGCCCACTTCGGCATCGAATGTGAATTCCTACACAAAACATCCGTCATCCAAATCACAAAATCGCCAGGACATGTAACCAATCTTTCGGGGCCATGCGAGCTCGCAAACCGAACGTGAGCGACATTTTTGTCCGGTACAGCTGTGCTTACTTCTACAGTGTGAGGTACTGCACCTTACATCCGACTTCCGCATCACGGAATCGTCGTAGTTTAGTTAGAGTATCAGGTCATGTCTTGGCAAGGCTAGCGGGCGGGTCCGACTTTTTCACGGCCTGAGATCGCTTCTGTGCTGATAGGCACCTAGCGTCCACCGCCTTTAGGAAAGGTATATTATATAAAAGGCTTTCTAACTACGCGTAGTTGCTGTAGTTGGAGTATCAGGTCTTGTCTTGGCGAGGCTAGCGGGTGGGTCCGTCTTTTTCCACGGCCTGAGATCGCTTTTGGTGTAAAATTAATACACATTCAATGTATTTAGCTTGATATTTTATTTGGAAGGGTGTGGGCCGTCATATGCCTCGGTCAAAACCCGCCATCTACGTGCTGTCTACGTGCTAAAACGTGGGCAAATTTTGGGGGATCTGTAAGTGGAGAGTTCCGCCACCGTACAGAATCCAGTGGATTTGGGAGCACACAGATACGCCATAGCACTTTAAGTGCATGCAAAACTTTCTCAGCGTGCGGGCTGTGGATTCACCTCAGTGCGCGTGAGCCTTGTGCGTACCATAAGCTACGGTCACAACCCGCCGTACGTGCCTCTGCGCACTGTCTACGTGCAAAAACGTGGGCAAACGTAGGGCATCCGTGCGTGGTGAGTACCGCCTCCGTACGGAATCTTACGGATTTTGGAGCACGCAGACACGCCGTAGAACTTTATGTGCATGTCAAACTTTTTCTACGTGCGGCCTGCGGATTCACCTCCCATGCGTGCTAGTACAAGCGACGTGCGTACCCCGTAAGTGCCGTGCGGAAGAAGCACGTGTGAGTACGGCCTCCTTACGGTAAAGTTGCAATCGCACAGAGATCGTACGTTGTAAGCACGTACAACTCACTTACCACTTGCGCAACGTACGATGCACGCAACCGCTCACGGCCAGACGTGGCGTGCAGACCACGTGCGTCGACGCCAGTCCTTCCCCACGTTTTCAGAAAAAAAAAACGTAGCAGACGCAGCCTCCCAAAAAACGTACGGACAAAACGCACGTACGGCGGGTTGTGACCGTCCCCGTTTTTTTAGGAAAACGTCGTAGCCATCGCCTCCCCAAAAAAACACGTACGGCGGGTTATTACACTGACGATATATGCATGTCAAGATCTAACGCACAAGGCTCGCTTCTTTGTTGCCGACGAAATGGACACAGAAAAGAAACAGTAAGTTGAGCACAACAAAACATTAATAGGAACATACGAAAGATATACACACACATATACACAGAATTACGGTGACGAAAATCGGCAAGAATAAACATTTTAAACGCCAGCCCTGTATGCGCCTTTCTTAGATACGTCATCGATCCTCAAAGTTCAAACATTCATTGTATTTCCTACCGTCTCCGATGAGAGAAACCATCGACGAAATCACACACTTCATTCATCATCAGTTTATCTTAACAAGATAGGTAACAATTTTAACACTTTACTGCGGCAAAAATTAAAATATGACTAAACAAGTATGCGAGCAGCGGGCAGTTATTGCCTACAATCCTGTATCTGCTTGAAGATTGCATATTTTAGCACAGCAGGAAAACACATATTTAAGCCAACTTTACGAACTGCGTTAAGAGGTATTATAGGCGACGAAATATTTTAGCAGCCTTTACGACATCGGAAAGGCAACTGAAAGGGAAATATGGCCTTTCCGTAACCTTTACACATGTGTAAATGTTAATGGTTATGTTAATATAACGTGTTTCTTTCCGTAAGCTTTACATGGACTTAAATATAATGTAAAGAAAGCATTGCGGTAATGAGTTAACTAGAGGCATCTGAAAGCCATATGATCTTCTTGATTATTATGAATAAAGTCCTTACCAACCTCGCGCGACTTAACACAAGCATTTTATATGCTTTTTAATCTTTGGTTTTACCTGAAATATTAGGTATCTTCCATGATTTCTCGCTGAATCGCCGCAAAATCTAACATTATCATGCCTAGTCATTTCTATATGTTTATGTCTGGCTTTCCAAAAACATACGGTTCCTTTCCTTGTTGTATAAACAAGCTTTCCGCCGACCGGGAGACATCTCCCCCATACAGTATAGGCGTCGTTAAGCTACAGGAAATGTTGCGTTTCTTCGTCTTTTCCTACCGTCGCAAAGTTTCCCCTAAATTGTAGCAATCGCCATGTTTTTCACACGTATTTGAGAGCGGAAAATGCAACATATTATTAGTCTTTTCTATATGTTTATATTGGCTTTCCTAAAACATAGTTCATTGTATTATGGTTCCTTTCCTCGTTCTATAAACAAGCTTACCGACGTAAATAATATAGGTGTCATAAAGCTACAGGAAATCCGTGTCAATTCGTTCGGCGCTGTATGTACTGAGTTCCGGAACATTTAGAACTCATAGATTATGTTTAACTCGAGACAAATAAAACATTTTTCAACTGAGAAAGACCATAAAACTGGGTAACTGTAGAATAATTTAGTTTTCCTTTAGATTGAACGATTCTTTCGTTATCAGCCTGGAACCTATAATTTCTCAGTCAACAACCTACGTGTCAATATGTACGGCGCTGTATGTACTGAGTTCCTGTACATTTAGAACTCATACAATATGTTTAACTCGAGACAAATAAAACATTTTTCAAACCGAGAACGACTATGATACTAGGTGACTGTAGAATAGTTTAGTTTTCCGTTAGTTTAAACGATTCTTCCGTTATCAGCCTGGAACCTATAATTTCTCAGTCAACAACCTACCCAAAGTTTACTACGGAACGTGTCAATATGTACGGCGCTGTATGTACTGAGTTCCTGTACATTTAGAACTCCTAAAATATGTTTAACTCGAGACAAATAAAACATTTTTCAAACCGAGAACGACCATGATACTGGGTAACCGTAGATTAGTTTAGTTTTCCTTTAAATTGAACGATTCTTTCGTTATCAGCCTGGAACCTATAATTTCTCAGTCAACAACCTACCCGAAGTTTACTACGGAACGTGTCAATACGTACGGCGCTGTATGTAATGAGTTCCTGTACAGTTAGAAGTCATAAGATATGTTTAACACGAGACAAATAAAACATAGGTCATTTTGCCCCAGGAATTTGCCCGAGGAAACGAACAAATTTCCATATCGGCACATAGTAGGACATCAATACATGCAATGTATATTATCTTTGGCAAGTGGAACATTGACGGATACAAATAATGCAAATAAACACATGATCTGCATAAAATATCTCAAAATGCTATGACTCCATGTTTGTAATTAATGGGTTCTGAAATGTGTTAATTGGTTACATTACTTTGCTTTTATTATGTTAATGTGTGTTCATTTCAATATCTGATGATACAACAATATTTTAACTAAACCTTGCCAAAGGATGAAACATTCACATAAGAAATATATGTAATTTGAGTGAAGAAACATTATAAATAAAAGATTATACAAACCAATCGGGATTAAAATATAATTTTGGCATCCACGAAGCTTTGATGGAGAGGGAGAAGGCATATAATTTAATTAAATTCAAACCACCATTTTCAATTGAGTTGTAAATTGTTTTCCTACTGACTCTTTCTGGACCCCCATTCCAAATAAAGGAAAATATTTTTCTCTCATATATTTTAAAAAAGGATTTACTTGGGGAGGGGAGGACCTGGAAAAGATTTGTAAACTGGGAAACAATCAAACAATTTATGACAGTAATTTTTCCAAACAAAGATAAACTTTTTCCTTTCCAGGGGAATAATAATCTATCTAAATTTGCTAAACGGGGTTGAAAGTTGCATTTAATAATGGACCCCAAATCCCTATGTCTATGTATGCCTAAAAGGTCTACCTCCCCATCTACCCATTGAATAGGTAGATGGGAAGGTAGTTTAAAATTCGTGTTTTTTAAAGAACCAATTTTAAGTATCTTACACTTGTCGAAATTTAAAGATAAACCCGAAAGATGGGAAAAACTTTGTAAATCATCAATAAGGGCATTAAAGGATGCTAATTTGGGAGCAAAGGGGAAATTACTATCATCAGCATATTGAGAAATTTTACAGTGCCTTCCATGAACAGATAAACCAGTCAACTTTTGATTGCTGCGTATCTTAATGGCCAACAGTTCTACAACAATAATAAATAAATAGGGGCTTAGAGGACAACCTTGTCTAACACCACGATATAAAGTAAAAGGATTTGATAAATAGCCATTGTTTGACACAACGCTCGTAATATTAGAGTACAAAGTTTTAACCCAAGCTATAAACTTGGGGCCAAAGTTGAAAAATTCTAATGCTTTAACCATGAAATCCCACCTCACTGAATCAAATGCTTTCTGATAGTCAGCAATAAAAACTAGACCTGGTTTATCTTCATTTTCATAATGATCAATTAAATCTAATATACGTCTAATATTATCTCCAATAAATCTTCCTTTAATAAATCCTGTTTGATCATTATGAATAATGTCAGAGATAACAGATTTTACACGCAAAGCCAAACATTTAGAAATAATTCTTGTATCGCAACATAATAATGTGAGGGGCCTCCAATTATTCAAAAGTGTAGGATCTTTGTATTCCCCGTTGCTCCCTTGTTTTAGTAATAAAGAAATTATTCCTTGTCTTTGTGTATCTGATAAGTAGCCTTGTGACAAGGAGTAATTAAAACAATCTAGCATTGGGGTTTTAAAACAGAAAAGAAATGCTTATAGACTTCCACCAGAATTCCATCAATTCCAGGTGTTTTGCCATTTGAAAAGAAATTTATAGCAATGAGTAATTCTTCTTCAGTAATTAGGTCCTCAAAAGCTTCCAGCTGATTATTGGATAAACGCTTTTCATATTCATCAGGGAAAAAATGCTCAGAATTTTTAGGGGTCAGGGGTATTGGAGGTTCTTCAAAAGAATAAAGGGTAGAATAGAAATCAACTTGTTTTTCTAAAATTTCCTGAGGATCAGAGGTAAAAGTTTCATCCGATATCTTTAATTTTTGAATGTTTTTCCGGGTATAATTTCTATGAACCATGT